GCCAGACCAGAATCATAGAACACTACATCTGGGTATCTCCACATATATAAATTATACAGAAGACAATCCTGACAACGCTAATGTAACGCCAGAATCAGATGGCCGAAGTCGGAAGACTCCATCAAAGGTTGCAGATGCACTCTCACGGACAATATTACCAGATCCTGAGTGTGCAATAGACAACCTTTCGGACTCCCTAGGTGATATTACCGACGATCAGGGCAGTAAGCCTTAGTGGGTATGGGAAGACATGAAGGGGGGATATGCAGAACTTCTACGACTGCGCAAGATCCAGGAAGATGATGCCACAAACCTTGATTCGAAATCTATTGATTACTCAGCCGATCCTCCGCACAAGGATAGCTTAGAGGAACAATTAAATGCTTTCGCTACACAAATGGTAGAAAGAGAAACGAGGTCGAAATACCAAGATTTGGAGTGGTACCGAGAAATCTGGATTGCACTCACAAGGGCCTCCGACCCTTCGAAGTTCGATCGAGCACAGGTTACGAGATAAAAGCGACGTTGCAATAATTTTGAGGTGATCGGGGACGATCTGTTCTTTCGGATGAGAGGGGTGCGGAAGAAGTGTGTAACACTCCAAGAAGTTTTGGAAGTAATTCAAAATACTTAAGATAAGAAGCGTCGATGGAAAAGCTGCGAGGAAATAACTTCATCCAGTGTATTGAGGACTCTTGGACGTGGCTGGCCATGGTGGCTCCCATGGAAAATTTTACCTTTTAAGTCTGATTAGTGAGAATGATATACCGAGAGCTTGCTACGGGTACCAACTCAAGTCATTCAAACTTAGGGAAAGTCATTGTCACAGTTCCGATAAATAAAGCTTGGGCGTTCATATGTCGATAGGTAAGTTTATTTAATAACTGAATAACCAGACTACTGCTACACTCAACGCCCTATTTATATACATGATTCCAATATTTCAAACACTAGTCTCTGTCCTCTAGTCCGGCTCCCACTATTAAAGTGTGGGCTAGTTACCAACGATGTTTCGTGCACGGGAAGTACCAGACTTTCAATACCAGCGTATCTTAGCGCTGAGGTAATGAGTATGCATGAGATGAATAGCACAGGCTACAGGCAATTTACCGGCTTACTAGCCGCCACAGTCATTTAATCACTGGTCGAGAAGGAAAAGTACCTTTCTATCAGAATCTCCGTGCAGGAACAGCAAGTCATAAACTACCTGCAGCCGTCGGAAATTGGGACCCAGAATGGAGTGCAGACAACTGATTGCAGCTACAGGACTTATTATGAGATTTCATAACTAATTTTGGGAAATGAAGCTATGTTCGGTGTTTAAATCTTGCCATTACATGAGCACTTTTATGGTCTGGAGAGAGTTATAGATCGACTGATTACTCTGAAGTCTATCATGGTATTCAGAGTATATATTTTATTCACCACGTCAAGGGAACTTTTATAATCTCGTAAGTAATTAGACAAATTTTTAGAGCAGAAACAAAAGGGATAACAGTACTCGAGCTATCTGCACATTGTCGAGGACCACAAGTTGCTGCTACGGGACTAGAGATGTGCGGGTTACGTAATGTGGTTATGTAATTAGAACAAGTAGCTCGGTGGTCGCGTATTTACGCGTCGTAGATAGAAAACATGAGAGTACTTGCGACCTCCCACAGCTCCGAACCTTAACGTATTTCTGTCCCGATGTCTAAGCCTCGCCTGGCTGGAGCTGCAGGATTTTTGAGACTTTTTCCCGCGCACGCAGTTTCCATTGCTACCACTTTATTTTTTGGGGGTAGAAGACTCCGTGGAAAAGGTGGCTGAATTCCACGGGTAAACACTGAGCTGAATGGCATTTCATCAAGGGGAGTATATCAATGATCTTACATGAAACATGAGAGGCAAGGAGCACTGTACGAGGCGTGGCCTGAGTCAGAAAGGAGCCCGATGTGCTAGGTTGTCTATGACTCAACTAGTACAATAAAGACAAAGAAATAGTACTGGTCATGTGTCTTAGCTTTATAGCTGCAAACACATTAAATGATTTTGTTAGAATTTAGAATAATTGGGGCTATCAAGTGGGCCACGTTGTTGCTACACACGTGACTACAAATTCTGTACTTAGTTTCACTTCGGTAGTCACTTGAATCAATGCGCTCTACAATCTCAATGGCTGAGGGCTCATTATTTCCTTAATCGATAAGTTATATTATCGCCATTTTAGACAGGTTCAATTGCTCTTTAATTTACACGCCTCTACCGTATTGTACCAACAGGCGGGCAGCTGTTTGTCATGGCAATGTATTTCCTACCTCCGCTACCTCTGAAATTATTCTTTTCGTTTCCTACATTGAGGTGCTACATGCGCATGAGCCATTTTTTTTGCATCAAATTTTAATTGCGTATGCAGCTATCTAGCTGTGACACAATATCAGAGGAAAGTACAGAAAAGATGACTCAATTTACAAGAGGAGCACTCATGCCTCGGATTTCATTTGCAGGTACCACTGCGAAGTTATCGTAGCTTTTTCTTCACCCCAAGTCAACCCTCATCCGTGAATATCCACCCAGGGGAACGTCTCAAAAGCCCTGAGATATCCAGACATGCCTCTATCATCTTTCAACTTTTCTCCGCGCGATATGTAATCTGAGGTGTCTCCTTCCCAAGTGGAGTAGGTGCCCAGGCTACTCAGACTATACCGGAGAACACCACCAGGAGGCGGACCACAACATCTTCCATCGTTTGCTTGTCTTTATAGTGTGAGCTGCACTCTCGCAAGCGAAGTCTTGGCGCGCACAAAGCTGAATTCGTAAAACTCTTGCCAAAATTCAGAATTTCACTCCCTGCGGGGTTACACCCAGTCCTTTGCATCATCTTGTAAACTTGTCCTGATACCTCTCACGTCCATCCCAAAGAACTGTCTCCCAGATTTGCTTCCTCCGGCGGGTGTAAATATCGGCGTAGGCGTGTATTTGGTGGTCAACTGAGACCAGAGAAGGTCGAAGATAGGTGTGGTCATTGAGATGAGGATGTACTAGGTCGTACTTGTAGACTTGATGAGATTTAGGTAGAAGTCAAACTCGTTGGGAGCGAAAAAACGACGCGGAGGAGTAATTTGAATCATTGCCTCGTGGGCCAACTTCTTTGATATTGCGAAATTTGACTGAACTTGGCTCTGGGAGAAGATTTCACTCCCAGGTTCGTAGAGGACACCGCGTACAGGTGTTCAATCTTGCCCTCCACGTAGTTCTTTCTTTATACAGAATATGAACCTTTATTTTTGGATTCACCTTTGCGAACAAGCTATCGTGATTATTCCTTTCACAATACGATAAATTTCCGGAATGATTTCCGTTCTCATACATTTACCTGTTACTCGATTATCATTCTTCAACCTCTGAATATCGTTTTGACCAGGTTATTTTGGTTAGATGGGTGCCAATTGTGCCAACAAAAAAGGGGATTTCTGTAGAGCAACGACGTGTTATGCGACGATGGGCGCACCGCCAGGTTTCAAACCCAGCACAAAAACGGTGCATTGAGTGGTTCTTCGCTGAGTACGGCCACCGATTAAGCCAGTCCACAGCCTCCGAGTCCTTAAACAAGACCTTTGCGAAACTCAACGAAGCTACAAGTACTACTGAGCTACGACAGGGAGCTGGAAGCTGGCCTGAGCTTGAGAGTATTACAGCGATTAAAGGCGGCAAGTGGGAGTATGAAAGAGGAATCAGTGGTAAAAAGTAGCATTGAAAGCTGGATTTGATAATCATATCCTTTAAAGTGATATCCTCTATATGACGATATTATTCATGGCCCCGATTACATCGTCTTAACAGGGGTCTTACTGTACTTCAACCGTAACTAAACAGCGTCTGGTAGCCGTGAAAAATGACCAAATTATTAAGTACTATCACGCGCGGTGCGAATCACTTGAGTTTATGCACGCCGATCTCCATCGCATTCGTTGGACCTATACCCGTAGTGCACTTCGAACTTCAGTGTGTGACCTTGAAGAAACAAAAGAAATCTCAGTCTGTATGAAGGACTTTTATCACAGCAGTCTAGTCAAATCAATCCAAAATTAAACAGTGGTCATAATTTAGACCTCTTCGGATATATCTGACTAGTTTGAGACCCTACAGTTAGGCAATGAATATCAAATAAACAACCCGTAGAAGTCTAGAACTAAATGCGGAACAGAAATGACGAATTAGGCCAAGGGGTATGGGATCACGTAGACAGATTTGACGTAATTTAGATCAAACGACGCAATCAGTTGAGAGCTGTGGAAAAATGGTCATTCTGGGCCGCAGCACAGCAAACATTCTTGGTTGTGGAACCTATCTGATGTAAAACATCTCATCAGAGTGCAGCTGACACTATAAACACAAGCCAACGATGGAAGGTGTTGTGGTCCGCCTCCTGGTGGTGTTCTCTGGTGTGGTTTGAGTAGCATGGGCACCTACTCCACTTGGGAAGGAGACATCTCAGATTACATTTCGCGCGGAGAAAAGTTGATGGATGACGGAGGCATGTCTGGATAACTCAGGGTTTTTGAGACGTTCCCCTGGGTGGGTATTCACGGATGAGGGTTGACTTGGGGTGAAGAAAAAGCCACCATAACTTCGCAGTGGTACTTGCAAATGAAATCCGAGGCATGAGTGCTCCTATTATAAACTGAGTCATCTTTTCTGTACTTTTCTCTGATATTGTGTCATAGCTAGATAGCTGCATACGCAATTAAAATCTGATGCAAAAAAAACACAAAAAACATCTCATCATTAAATTACGATATTTTAGCTACAGTAATACATGACGGAGAGATTTCCGCTTCACTCATATCATAATTTCGGCCGTTTGGCGGACATTCTAGCTTCCCCCAAAAACCAACTTCCTTGACAAAAGCTGCCACATCGCTGACCTAGCCCAAGGAATCCTCCTCCCCACTAAGCTACATTCCAGTTTTCGAAGGGCATGTCCGAAAAGATTACAGTTTATTCCATCACCATAAACTTTATTTCACAAATGGACCAATTAAACCTTCCGCGATTGACTCAGGTAATCTTAAATTTTTCTGACGGAGGATACCTAATTGTTGTTTGATGTAGAGCTCTTTATTGACGTGGTGATCTTCCCTCAACGTCTGAGCATCGGTTGGTGTTGGACTAATGGTATTTCCACCTTGTGTCAGCAAAGACTTAATAGATCTAAGCTCGATGAAAGATTCGGCTATATAATCGATGATGTAATCAAAATCCTCCGTATCCTGTAATGATCGTTTTACTGGATACCAAGTTTGAAGAGATTTTTTCTTTTGAAATATATTTAAATAACCTTGATACCACGCCATTGCAGTTTGTAGACCATTGGCTTCGGTTTGCAAAATTAGTTTACCATTGAGTACGACATGAGGCATGCGAAAGAAAAATTCAATAGCTATTCGGCGACGATGAGGATTAAAAGGCGTAAGTATTTCGTCCACGTTGTTTTGGATACAAAAATGGTTTTGAAAAGCTAAGCTGTAGATTGTACTTTTACTGCACTCTATTTTTTCCGAAAACTTTCTGATTGGGATGTCCGTTGTAACCGGTGAGCTTCTGAATTCCGCTTCAATTTGTTCGAGACATTTGGTTTCTTGAGAAATATCTTGGTGAAAGCCAAATTGAGATGAATCATGTAGCTCAGTCGCGCCCTCAGCTATATACTTCCTCAAATACCTTGAATCTTGGGATGGAGAGCAATAGACTGCTATATGTGTGCCGGGACTGTTAATCTGCCTCGCAGCCGTAATTACGTCACTGCCAGCCTCAACGCCTCGGAACTGTCGTAATCCTTTCGAATTGTATATTCGATAATATTTATAATCCCCATTTAATGGCATGGTGATTAAACGGTCATTATCCTTCGGTCTGATGTCATTAAGCAATAAAAGAGCAAGCATGCAGCGCATTGTTGCAGAGTTGATGAAGGTCCTGTGGTGCTTGTTTAGTCTGGAGTGTTTTTATTTCAAGAGTGCGGCAGCTCACTCAAAGATTGCAGATGGAGGTAGAATAGTGATGCCCACGTCGCTCTTTCAGCGGAGATCCAAGAGAGCGTCGTGTATCTTGAGATACGGATGGATCGGACATCGAGCCATTCGTTGCGTAGCTCAATATATATAACTTTATCGAGTCAAGGGTGGAGTTATTTCTGTAATGTTCCCAATCTTAATTGCTAAACCCATACGAGTCATCATACATTGCACTGCATAATTTATTCACGCAAGTTCCTTTTGAAGAATACATGAAATATGTTGTCTAAATGTAGAAAGATCTAGATCCCGTGTAGAGTGGTGTTATTTGTGTTGCCTAAAGAGCTGCTATCCATCAGCAATTTTTATCGTCTTCGTCCGGAAACACCAACAACGAAGACGAAGTTTTCTTCAAGATTTGTCACATAGTCGGCTAAATGCAAGATGGGCCGTGGTGCGTTGCTGTCGGGCGAGTCAGGAGAAATGGCGGACTTCAGGGTGTGAATGGAATGGATATTCATTTGCGAAGGGCACAAGCCCAGCACTCAGAGAGCACGACACAGAGAAGACTAGCTCGTCTCTGATGACTACATATTACGACATCTCAGTTTGACATTTGGACCACTCATGCAGTGGGTGCATTCGCTGATATCACTCGAGACGCTTGTGCTAGGGACTTTCACCCTTCCCTCAACCGCTAATATCTGTTGAAATTGGCGCAACTTGGCAACGAAGAGTCGCATTAACATGGAACGTAATTCGGTACTAGTATAGCTACAGTGCGGACTCGTTATAACGATATTCGATATATCGATGTCGCCGTCGCCTTTTTATCGTTGTGTCGAATAACTGTCACATGATGTGATCACTATCATTAGCTGAAGCCTGATTATATTTAGTCTCATGCTTGATAATCAAGATAAAAACTACTGTTTCCAAGTATAGGTCTAAATACTTCATGTACTTCCCCACACGACTTTTTTTTTGCATCAGATTTTAATTGTGTACGCAGCTATCTAGCCATACTCAATATCAAAGAGAGATACAGAAGAGATGACTCAATTTACAAGAGGAGCACTCATGCCTCGGATTTCATTTACATGTACCACTGCGAAGTTATCGTAGCTTTTTCTTCACCCCAAGTCAACCCTCATCCGTGAATATCCACCCAGGGGAACGTCTCAAAAGCCCTGAGATATCCAGACATGCCTCTATCATCTTTCAACTTTTCTCCGCGCGATATGTAATCTGAGGTGTCTCCTTCCCAAGTGGAGTAGGTGCCCAGGCTACTCAGACTATACCGGAGAACACCACCAGGAGGCGGACCACCACACCTGCTATTGTCTGCTAAATTTTTTAGTGTCTGCTGCACTCTCGCAAGCGAAGTCTTGGCGCGCACAAAGCTCAATTCGTAAAACTCTTGCCTAAATTCGAAATTTCACGCCCGTTAAGAATGTCTCCCTCTTCTGCATCATCTTTTAAACTTGTCCCGATCCCTCTCATGTCCACCTCATAGAACCATATCCCAGATTTGTGCACCACGCTTTGCTTCCTCCGTCGGGTACAAATATCGGCATGGCCGTGTATTTGGTGGTCAACTGAGGCCAGAGAAAGTCGACGAGAGGTGTGGTCATTGAGATGAGGATGTACTAGGTCGTACTTGTAGACTTGATGAAGCTTAGTTGAGAATCGGACTCTTTGGGAGTGAAAGATTGACATTGTGGAGTAATTTGAATTTCTGCCTTGTGGGCCAACTTCTTTGATGTTGCGAGATTTGACTGAACTTGGCTCTGGGAGAATATTTCACTCCCAGGTCCGCAGAGGACACCGCGTACAGGTGTTCAGACATGTCCTTCATGTTACAGATTTGGGGAAGCTCGTCCCTTATCCCCTAGCTTGTTCGCTTGTAGATCGATCACGTTACCAGTGTGCAGTTCACCAAAGTGTGCAACCAACTGAGCAGCCATGCCTTATATCCTATATCAACAACCCATCTCTCATGCTGCACACATCACTACTTGTAATGTTGTTATGTAGAGACTGGATCTCCTTCATGCGCCATAATGCCATGCTGCCACAATAACTACCTATGCACTAGCTACTAGATCTACCAAACTACTTAGCTGAGCATAACAGGGATGTGTTGAGAGAGGAAGACGATACAGATGGCGAAAGCGATTGGGAATCCTCATGGAGGTGAGGAATTTTTTACTCTTTCTCGGCTTTGCAGACTCTACAGTGAGAGCTGGAGGTTCGTAGGGGATACCACTGACAGGTGTTGAGAATAGTCCCCCTGTCATTCTCCGGAATGTTAATGTGAAATGAATACTATTGCGTATTAAATTTTCAGCGCTGGATGTGTTGATAACAATAAAATATGATGGGGAATTTCTTAGTCTAATTAGCCAGACCTACAAACATGTTATTCATTCCATTCCAAGATTTATTAAACATCAACAATGGTCACCCTTGATCGAGGTGTACTCAATTCAAGACAAGTATTTCGACGGCACCTAAACAGCGCATGCCAGCTTTGGAAAATGACAAATCTAATGCATAGTATCACGCACGTTGCGAATAAGCTTGGTTTATACACGCCGATCCCCACCGCATCGATTATCCCTTTACCCGTATTGCAGCTCCAAGTTCAGTATATTACCTTTACGATACAAAAGACAACTCAGTATGTATGAAGAACTTTTATCTCAGCAGTCTAGTCCTAGCGATCCATTATTAAATAGTGAACGAAAGTAAGACCTAAGCAGAAATCCCAGACTAGTTTGAGACTCTACAATTAGGCGATGAATTTCAAATAAACAGACCATTGAAGTCTCAAAGTAGATGCGGAACAGATACGATGAATCAGGTCAAGAGATAAAGAACAATGCAGACAGATTTGACGTGATTTAGACGAGGCGACGGAGTCAGTGGGGTGATGTTGAAAAATAGTCATTTTGAGTCATACAATAGCAAAAGGTTCTGTTCATGGAACCTATCCGTGCAAAATATCTCATGTAATTCAATTACAATACTGTAGCTCATGTATTACACAGCGGTGAGGTTTCTGCTTCGCTCGTATCACTATCTTGGCCGTTCGACAGAGATTTTAGCTTCAGCGAGAAATCAACTTCCTTTTCAAAGTTGCCCTCAACTTATCAAGAATTGGAAGACCTTGCCCCTTCTGTGCTACACTCCGATGTTGTTAGACCACTTTTGAGAAGATTACAGTCTATTTTTTCACCATAAATTTTATTCAATAAAAGGACCAATTAAACCGTGCGCAGGTGACTCATTTAATCGTAAAGCTTTCTGGCTGAGAATTTGAAGTTGCTCTTTGATATGAGATTCTTCTGCGGGATAATTACTGCTTTTAAGACGCTGGTCATCGGTTGATGTTGAAATAATGGTAATTTCATCTTGCGTCAACGCAGACTTGATCGATCCGATCTCGACAAAAGAATTGGCTATGAATTCAGTGATACGATAATAATTATCAATCTTCGGTACTGATTGTATCATTGGATGCCAAGTAGTATCAAGTTTCCCTTTTTGAAATATATTCAAATAGCCTTGATACCAAGCTAGCGCAGTGTGTAGACCATTGGCTTCTATTTTCAAAATGAATCTACGACCCATTACCACATCGGACATGAGAAATAGATTGTCGACACCTATTCTTCGATGATTACGCCTACAAGGCGTAAGTATTTGCCCTTTGATATCTTGGATACAGAAATTATTTTGAAAAGCCAAACTATAGATTGTACTTTTACTGCAGTCTTGTACGCGCAAAAATTTCTTAATTGGGATCAGCTTTGTGCCCGAGGAAATTTTGAGCTCCTGTCGAATATATGTGAGACACTTGATTTCTCGAGAATTAGGATGGTGAGAGCCATACGCCGACAGTTCGTCCAGGTGATCAGCGCCTTTACTAATATACTCCGCTATATATCTTAAACTTTTGGAAGGAGAGCAATAAACTGCCATATGTGTGCCTGGTCCTCTTATTTGACTCTTGGCCAAAATAACGTCACTGCCGGCCTCGACGCCTCGGAAATGCCGCATTTCGTTTGGTGCGTACATTCTGTAATAATCTTGATGCCCACTCAATGGCATAGTAGCTAGACGATTATTTTCTTTGGTTTGGTCTCCTGTTAGCAGAAGAAAGGCAAGTATGCAATTCATTGTTGCAAATTTGATTCAGATTCTATCGTGCCCCTTCAGTTCGTATTGTTCTTCCTTCAAATTATTGGTAGCTAATCTGAAGATTATAATCTCAAGTGAGATTTGTGATGGCAACAGCGATCTTTTGGTTGAGAATAAAAAGGGTGTGGTGTATCTCGCAATACAAAGGGATTGGTTAATAAGGCCATACGTTGACTATGTCAAAGTGTATAATTCTGATGGTAAATTCATAGAGTCATTTCCATTGTTCATCCATATTACCTGCTGGAAAAACACGAGTAATGATGCATGGCACAACAAGATCAACTGACTCGAAGGCATTTTCGTGATTCCAAAATAACCCTAAGACCCAGTACGGACGATATCAACAACAACATTGTCGAAATTACATGATATCTCTTGTCTGACGTCTATCGTCACAGGGCTGAACCAAGTCTTAGATGGCTAGGTTGCAAGCAAGTGCTCAAAAAAGGTGATATTTTAGACACAATTTATTTCGCCATGATCCCGCCGGTGATGTCTCCCGTAGATATTTGTAAATTATTTTGCGCGTGCGCTAATGTTCAGTATTCGTAATCCGCGTCTGGTGACAGTTATGAAAATTATTGTCTCGGATTGTGGACAATTAACCCCTTTATCCGAGGAAATTACTACCAAGAATTACCCATATACGTTATGGTAGTATTCTGGAATTAAAAGAGTGAACATTGGCCGTCAAGTCCATCCGACAGGGGTTGTAAGTGATCGCTAATCATAAGATCAAGTATATTTTTTCTGTTGTGCATGTGTCAGAGACAAGAGCACACAAATATGCGTGCTGGGACTTGTTTAAAACAAAGCATACAAATTGAAGTCAAGTAATTTTTACCGGAAGTTATTGATGAAGGATTTGGATGTTGGGGATTCTTTTATCGCTGCGTTGTGATACACTTAATCGATCCTTCTAAGCTCGCTAATAGGTAGTCCCCATCGACTAGTGTTTGGCGAACGGATATTGCACAAACCCTGTGCCAACGTTTTTTTAAATCGTTTATTATTATTTCATTTTATTGTCCTATCTGAGTCTATGACTATGGAGCACATGCAGGTCCTCCCTGCCTACAGACCAAGGATACCTATGCCTCCCACACCTCTTACACAGCTCCACTCGAACAGTTCCACCCCTCACAAGTCCTCATTCGATCATACACTTAGAGGAGTCCTTTGCCCTTCATTATCTCTCCTCTCCAGCCAACCAAACGATGTATTAAAATGTATAACCCACAACTTAGTTCGTGGACTTTATTGGTAAAGGGAAGCTTATGCAATAATGAAGGATAAAAGGATGTCAATTCGATTACTCTATCAAACACAGGTACCAGACTTCTTTTAACCCCAATAGATAGCCCGTGCGAGATCTCCTATTAACAGCAGTAAACAACGCTAGCACAGGGTATACACAATCTCCGTTCGCCAAACACCAGTCGGTCGGGACTACTAATTATCGAGCCCAGTAGGATCGACATAGTGTATCCTAACACAGAAATCATAGAAAACTCAACGACCAAACCCTTCATCAATTACTTCCATTAAGCATCACCTGACTCATCTCTGAACTCCATAATTTCAACACGATGGCCATTTGCGGATGTATGGCAGCCAGGAAAAATCGCAAATACCACTGGGTGCGGAGCTTTGCTCATACCGACATTAGGACTAAATCCGAAGACATAGTGATCCTTCCGAAGCGTTCGAAGAGACCAGCCAGCTGGGCGCTGCAGACTTGTGTGTACCTCGGAGGATTCATCCTCTGCCTTTCTAGCCTCCTTCCAACTCCTTCCCGAAGGTCGTTCTAAAGTGTCAAAAAAGTCTTGACAGAGCGTGATTGCTATATAGTTGCTTAGCCCAACTTCTTTCGTGCTGTCCAGGGCTCTAGGGAGTGCCGTTGACTCATCGACAATAGAAGCCCTCGTGACTACTTAGCCGAAATCTCGGTCTTGGCGCCTACCAACGTTCCAAATTCGAGAACATCTCAAAAATATCAGGCCTATTTCATCCTCGAGGGGTCTTTTCTTTATATTTTTCCACACCCCAGTCGCACGTCCTCACTCAAGATGTAAAGCCCCATTAGAGCAACAGTCCCCCATAAATCAAGACCCCAGCTTTGTATATCATGACTTAATTTCCTCCTTGCTGTTATACGTAGCGTCGTAAATATGTAGTAAGTTATGATCGGAATCATATGAGGTAGGCTCCTGTTTGCTATTGGAGTAAGGCTTTTATCGGTCGTAGGGGCGAGAAGATGTGTGGAGAGGTCAAGATGGGTAACTCTTGTGAGAATGACAAAACCGACATTGATTAGAAGCCACCGATTATAAATGGGTCTATGATTGCTTTAGACTTCGATTCGGATAAGATTCTTCTTGGCTCTCCCAGGTATGAGGTGCATACTGAGCAGTTACGCTGGCACCACTGGAGGGTGAAAAATTCGTCTTTGTCGGCTTTAAAACCAGTTATTGTGTATGCAGCTGTAAAGCTATGACACAAGATCGTTGCTATGTATATATGTTAGATGACACTTTGAGCGTTAGGGACACTCATGTTATAGATGTCGTTTGGAGGACTTTTCTCAACATCTGTCAGTGGTATCCCCTACGAACCCCCAGCTCTCACTGTAGAGTCTGCAGAGCCGAGATTGAGTAACAAAGTCCTCACTTGGAAGAGGATTCTCAATCGCTTTCGCGGTCTGTATCGTCTTCATCTCTCAACACATTCCCCTATCACCACTATCATGAAGCTAACCACGATCAGATCAGATGGTATGGTCGGAGCCCCACTCATCACCAACCCTTGATCATGGAGGAGAAGCCATCCGATGATTTCCCGGAGCGTACCAAGCACCCGATACGGAGATGGGGGATTGGATCAAGTCGACCTCAACTATTACAAAGAAGAGAGATATAGATGAATATGCGCGCCTCATGTGGTCCCGGTGTCTAGGCCTCGCCTGGCTAGAGCTGCAGGTTTTTTGAGACTTTTTCCTGCGCACGCAGTTTCCATTGCTACCATTTTTATTTTTTTGGGTAGAAGGATTCGTGGAAAAGGTGGCTGAATTTCACGGGTAAACACTGAGCTGAATGGCTATTCATCAAGGGGAATATATCAATGATCTTACATGAAACATGAGAGGCAAGGAGCACTGTACAAGGCGTGGCCTGGGTCAGAAAGGAGCCCAATGTGCTAGATAGTCATAGACTCAAGTAGTACAATAAAACACACACACAAACACGACCTAGTACATCCTTATTCCAATGATCACACCTCTCGCCGACTTTCTCTGGCCTCAGCCGGTCACCAAATACACGCCCACGCCGATATTTATACCCGACGGAAGACACATAGAGTGGCGCACAAACCTGGGAGACAGTTCTTTGGTATGGACGTGAGGGGATTCAGGACAAGTTCAAAAGATGAAACGAAGGATGGATACAGTCTCGACGGACGTGGAATTTTGAATTTTGGCATGGAGTTTTTACAAATTGAGCTTTGTGCGTGCCAAGACTTCGGTTGCGAGAGTGCAGGCGACACTACAAAAACTGCCATGGCTGGATTGTGCGGTGGTACATTGTCTTGGCCGGTCTGCCTAGTAGAGTCTGGCTAGCTTGGACACACATCCCACTTGAGACAGTAGATCGCCGGTCCAAATCCGGCAAAACACAACTAATCTTCTCACGGCGCTGGTATGTATGGATAATCAATAGTTTTGAATTTCCCTTTGGTGGGTACTTACGGAGGAGGGTTGACTATTTGTGTAAGCGAATATAACTCATAGTGGTATTTGCGAATGAAATCCAGAGGATGAGTGTCTCTAACGTCAAAAGAGTCATCCAATACGTTTACATAGCACCGTTCATGTGTCATAGCTAGATAGCTGAATACACAATAAATGATTTAAAAGTATCCGACACGCTGCTTTTTGCCACAATTTGCACAAGAAGCACTTTTTTTCGGACAGTCCCGAGTTTGGTGAGCGCCTGCGCACCTACTGCACCTAGCTGCCATCCCACTGTGACGGAAACCGAGTTGGTTGTGAATAAAACGATTTATTAAACTATATGAGGAGAAAAGAGAACTCTAGCTACGACTAACAGGTATTTATAAGAATTGGTCCCCTTCGTCAATCTCCAGACTGATGACTTATCCTTAGGCATAATACTTGTTATCCAGCCACGCATTACCAGATGTTACTTAGTCGTAGAAACGCTTCGACCTCCAGACTAGTAGTGCCGCCTAGTTGTAAGTATTCCCAAAAATCCGCTTAGGTATTCACCTAAGCTCTAATAGCGGTCAAACCGTAACACCCACACAACACCTGGGTGTATCTCCACTGGCTGCAGTTGTAAAACTGCTTTGGTTGGGCCCGTGGTGACCACACTTGCGCGATGAACAGCATGACATCAATAACGAGGCCATGTCGAACTACCTCCGATTGCATCGCCCCCGGTGGGCGGCTGACAATTAATGATTGTTGGAAATCTTGACTTAATATGTATGAAGGTTTAGGTTTCTAACTATGATCATCAAGATCAATTGAATTGATTCGATTGAATATGATTTAGCTCGTTTAGGCGAAATAAGGTTCAGTGGCTAGGAAATGCTATCTTGCGATAATTATGTGGCTGGTTGTTGCTAGATCACTGGGAGTTCGGGATCACTAAAGCCTCGGAATCTGTATTTAAGGATAGACTCATCTCTACATGTAAAAATAAGTCAACGGAGTATTATATGTTATTTATTCACAATGAGAAGAGAGTTCGATATCACATACAACTACCAATAAATTCTTGTTCGAAATTATACACTTGTTCTTCGAGATATTTCCTCCTAGAAATCCTTGACAATTTCTAACAATGATCCGCTGTTGGGACCGTTTTTCTTTGACCGTTTGACTTCCTTTCTGTCATGTAGCCATCGTATTCTGTTAATTGCCAGGCCTAGAATACGCGCCTGCGTCGCCGTCTCATTCTTCCTGATGATGGCGTAGTTATTGGCATCTCTGCCACCTTTTATTCTTGTGCGTTTTGGACTCGAACAACCTCAACGGGAAATTCTTGCTGTAGGATTTTTAATTCGCCATGTTGTCGCATATTAAGCGCCGCGTCTCTCTGGGACGTCGACTGGACAAACATCACGGTGACGTTCCTTCGCATCTGTCGAATTGCGATCGCTCTTTCAATGTTTTTTTGGTCCTTGTTAGAGCCTCCCCTAGCTACAGGTTTTGTGCTCCGTCGAGTCTTATTCCGACTTGCGTTTTCGCCATTTGCGGAGCTACGACTGAAGTATTCGTTCTTTTTGGCGGCCACCCCTGTCGGAATAATCCAGTGGTATTTATATCATAAGCTTTTTTAATCAGTAATAAAAATTGGCGGTTAACTTATATCTTGATTCTTCTCGTCTAACTAAAGGAAACACGAATATACAGCGGTTGTCCCTCTCTCCTGACGCCATTCCTAAACAGGTAACTTATTACTCAGCAAAATAATTAGTCTTCATTTCTAAAACAATACATGAAAGGTCATGGAGTCATTAGGTCATTCGACAAAAATCATTTGCAATTAGAATCTACAATTATGATACCAGTCCTACACCATGGGGATGTGATTTCTGCTTCTCTCGTGTCACAATCACGGCCTCTCCCGAAACAGTTTAGCTTCCGCTGGAGATCAACATTCACGACAGAAATCGTGCCTCTGCCTGCCCAGACTGAGAAGCCACCGCAATCATCGTAGTGTCCGGTTGCTTCTGAAGGGTTCTTTTAATGAGAAGCAGTTAGCATTGTTTGTCTTCAGTCCTATCCTTAAATGGACCAACTAATCCATTAACACGTGATTCAGGAAACCGCAAATTTTTGGTTGCAAGAAGCCCAAGTTGCCGCTTGATTTCTTGTTTTCTGTCAAAATTGATTTTGTTCCCGAGTCGCTGATGACTGGATGATGGTGAGCCAGTTGTGGGACTGGATGCCTCCAATGCAGACCTAATCATGTCAATCTCGGCAAAATGATTGGATAAGAAGTCGATGATATAGTGATAGTCGTCGTCGTCGTGTAACGATCGCTTTATCGGGTCCCAAATAGTGCTCTGCTTGCCCTTCTGGAATACATTTAAATGGCCCTGATACCAAGCTAGCACAGTTTGCGAACCTTCGATTTCCGTTAGCAGAAGAAATTTACCGTCCAGTACGACATCGGTCATTTTGAATAGATAATCAACCCAAACTGGCCGACTGTAACAACCCTTGCGCGTAAGGAATACATGTTCCATAGTTTTGATATGAAATGACTCTTGAAAAGCCAGACTGTAAATTACACTATTACTACAATCCTCTAAATGAAAGAGCTCGCTAATGTGAAGCCCCCTCCGATTCGATGGAAGTTTGAGCTTTTGTTTGATAACATCGAGACATCTCCGTTCTTTCGTAATATCCTGGTGAAAGCCATAGTTAGATATATCATCCAGCTTTTTGGTGTCTTTCGTGATATATCTTCCCAAATATCTCAAGCTTTTGGATGGAGAGCAATAGACTGCCATGTATGTGCCGGGCCCGTCGGTTGGCCTCGCAGCAATCATTATGTCGCTGCCTGTTTCGACGCCTCGGAACTGTCGTCTTCCGTCCGCGTTGTAAATTTCATAATGCCCATTATTCCGATCGAGACCCATGACGGCCAGGCGGTCATTATCTCTTGCTTGATCTGCAGCTAGCAAAAGAATGGCGAGTAGGCAGTGCATTGTTGCGAGTTCGATGCTAATTCTGTTTTGACTTTTTAGTGCGTGTCGTTTTTCGCTCAACCTATTGGTAACTCACTCAAGAATTATAGTCTTGCGTGCAACTTGTGATGTCTACGTCGCACTTCTGGTGGAGAATGAAAAGAGCGTTGGGTATCCTGTAATGTAAATGGATTGGTGAATTCAGACGTACATTGGAGTGTTCATATATATAGCGACGGGTCACAGGTAGAGATAACCTGCTCATTAGCCCGTTATTACTCCTTGGGACTTACGAGTCAAGATGAATGGTGTAGCATCTTCTTTTGCAATTCTATTTTGTCCCAGGTTTTGTCAATAAAACGAGGGCGCTTTTGCCTGTGGGTCAGGAGTCTTGCATCTTGGACTGTTTGCTTTAATTTAACCCTGAAATGTAGCTGCCATCCAGCTTTAAAATCGAAGTTCACAGTGAAGGAAGACGAATTTTTCTCGACGACGCCCAGTTTAGTTGGTTATGCGGAAGATGAGTGGGAGTCTCCAGCTGACGAGCGAGCCATTAGAAACCGCTGGCTTCCGGACGCCCGTCAAGTGTCATGTCGCATAGAACGGCAATCTTAGCTAACATTCATACCATGCATTTCCTCTCTTGGCGCCAGAACACCGGCAAGAATATTCTGGGATGAGATCGGAACACTTGACAGCGGTATCCTTCGCTTTCCTAGGACTGAAATGATCTACCACTGCCCAATTCAGGCATGTTTTGCAATGCCGAGGAAGCTTGGCCGCGGCGTAATAACCGAAGGCTTCTTACTGCATCAATACTTTAACCACCATAAGATCGATACTGAGTCAAGTTTCATCTATTCTACAAACTTCCTCCAAACCTACGCCCACGCCAGGGAGACTCTATACAGCATCTGTCAGTGGTTGTGGCTAATCCCAATCGCTTTGGCCGTCTGTGTCGTCTTCATCTCTCAGCACATCCCCCTATCACCACTATCATGAAGCTATCCGCCTTCACACCTGATGTCGGGATCGAAGCCTTTCTCATAACCAACCCTTGATCATGGAGAAGCCATGTTGTATTCAGATAGTTACACCAAAAAGGTCTAACTCCTACTGAGTATACTGAGCAGCAGACATATAAAAGTCCGTGCATGATAAGTATCACGTTGTTATTTTGGCTAATACTTGCCAATCATCACAAGCCGTCCGGTGAGTTTCCGGAGCGTTCCCAGTACCCGATACGAAGATGGCGGATTGGGTCGAGTCGGCCTCGACTGTTACAAAGAGAGATATAGATGAATATGCGCGCCTCATGTGGTCCCGGTGTCTAGGCCTCGCCTGGCTGGAGCTGCAGGTTTTAAGACTTTCCCGCGCACGCAGTTTCCATTCCTATCTTTTTTTGGGTAGAAGGTTCCGTGAAGGTGGCTGACTTCCACGAGAATATACTGAACTAAACGGCTATTCATCAAGGGCAATGTGTCAATGATCTTTGAAGGAACTAGAGAGGCAAGTAGCATTCAAAGAGGTATGGCGTGGGTCAAAAAGGAGCCCATGTGCTAGATCGCGATTAATACAAGTTGCATAATAAAATACCTAAACACTCGACTCGCGAAAGTAGCCGAATTAGACTCTGGTGCGCGATTCAAGGGTCCCTCTTTGAAAACTAATGCCCCCTCTCAAATGCATAACCCCACCGCATTCATTTCGCCCAAATATCATGCTTACAATCAAACTGATATTGGAACAAGGCTCTTTCAACAAGATTAGATTGAAAGGACGTAGGGATCATGAACTCTTGAGACAACTTTTAAAATTTCGCAGCTCATTGTAGCAATAGTGACTGGGAACGGGTTCTGATAAAGCAGTTGAGTTTTGTTGTATTCAATCCCCTAGAGTATTTCCTGTGTTTACAATCTACTTTTGTGAGAGATTACAAATATATTGTCCTTGTGATACATTTGTGCAATAAAAAATGTCGATCCCACTTTGATGCAGCAGGTCGAATGTCGTATGATACCAAATTACCAACTTCTCTTCAGACATGAGCCTCATTTGTCACACGGTCAAGTGTCGTTTGTCCCCCGAATAAATTCATTTCATAGTAAGTGCAAGGCCGAGACTTCTTTCAAGATTTACTCATTTCAAAACTATGGATGGGTATATGACTATTTAATCCAAAAAGTAATATTCGAAGCTTTACCACAAGCTTTCTTTTTTTGGGCAGATCGCGACAATGGTGCATTTTTCCGCCCTATGATCTAGCAAGTACCTATAATGGTTATCTCCAGACTCCGCAGTGGCGCTAACTCGATTAATCCTGTCCAGCATTGATGATATATTTTCCTACTCACGCCCTTTCTCCATTTATTAAAACCAAAGCCAAGTAGCCCCATAATTCAAACGCCGTTTGGTCACTTTTTGCCTGGTCGATCATTAATTACTTGCATTCACGGCTTTTTTTCGTGTCCATCATGCTATTTATTAGTATGTAAAATATCATGGATATGGATTATTTGGAGTAGTGGGCCAATCGTCTTCAGTTATACTGGACCAGAATATCCATACGGCGATGACTGAGAGCAAGGTGAAGAAGGTTTCGAACAAGGCTCCGTTGATTTTTCCTGATGTAGCATTACAGATATGAATACTAGCAACGTAGTTAAACACTTGCCCAATAATAAAAAGTAATGAAGCGGAAACTAGGTATATCATTGGTTTCCATTCCCCGAGTACACGGAGTACTAGGTAACTTTCAAGTATGAAAAACATAGTCAAAAATATAATCGGTGCGAGTTGATAGAGCACGTAGAGGCCCATATTTGAATTTTCACCAGATAAACTGGATTCGAAGCGACCTGTCCAACTAAAAGCAGTATCAAGGGCAATGTAGCCTGTGCCAAGAAAGAATAATAGAGCAGAGGTTGCAATGAGGCCGACTGATAATGGTGTTCCATCATCTAATAATTGGTAACCAACGACGGCATTGAGCATGAGAGTCCAGAGACTGGCGACAATTAAGCCCAGATGTGCGCTAGTGAAGGCCTCATCAGAGTCAGCAGACGTAAACTAATTCAAGAAGCATGTTGACCTACAATTAGCACGTTGTTATCAAGTGGAAATAGTCCCACAGTGAATATCTCGCATATCTCTATTAAGGCATAGATGAAGAGAAAAATTTGTACCTCCCTTGAAGGAAGTATGTCAGTTTTTTTCACGCACAATAGCACATCTAGCTACCTACCTCCGTCCGACTGCAGCCTGTTTTCGTTCCGACAAGAGGATTAAAAGTGTTGCGATAACAATTGCGATAGATGCTATTATAATGGAGCCTGTAATGTCAACATAATTCTTTATTGCATGATTCTTCATACCTAGATTCCCCAAATATTGACCATTAGTCAGAGAAATACCTGTTAGATAACATCCATCTTCAAAGCCACTTGGATCAGCGTAATTAAATCCAGGAAAGAGCTATTGCTTGTATGATCAGCGAGCGCCGGGAGATCAACGATAGACGAAGAATGGGATTGCGTACGTTGCAAACTGGTAATGTCGAGTCGCGGCAGAAATCCTGTGGCGGGAATCAGTAAATTGTCGATTAGGCAGAGGTATAATGGTGGTTGTAAGATGATAAGCTAAAACTGCAGTTGGACAGACATACGTGAAAGCTGCCAAATTTATTTAGGGCCATCGTACGTCAGTCCGGGGAAATGGATTAGGAAGTGGGCGGCCAATGGGTAGACTCGCAAACACAGGCTTCACCTTTTTCTCCTTCACGACTGTTTTCTACCAGCTTATGGTATCGTGTATGCGGAAATTTGAGTGATTAAGCCGTCGCGCGAACCCCAGTTGAGCACGCTTAAAAAATTCCGCTGGCCAATCAATTCCGGGCTAAGCTGGTGGTTATTGAGACAAGACGCTCGCGAACAGTCGTAAATGTGAAAGAATGTGGGCCTGTCGTACGGATGAGAGAGCGGGTTGGCACACTGAAAAAACGACGACTATTACAAATAAGTAGTGGCTGAGCGGCCGATTATTGCGTGGCGGGGGTAGAGAAGGTGTGCGAGGACGCTAAGGCATTAAAATCACGACAGGGGTAATCATCTGGTGACTAAGCGGTCAGCTAGATATGGCTAGCGGCTCGTCAGCTTAGTTGGCATCTGCGACGTCTTCAGTACCGGAGGTCCAGAAACCAGCCCGCTTACCGCACCTACTCCACAGACAGCAACTGCCGTCTATGCCTGCACCAAACAGCTTGGTCCTAGCTTTACATGCACGCGTGGACTGGCGAGGGAGATTGGATTCATGCTTTAGATTTCTGACGATCGGGAATTGGGCGCTGGCGGATAATCATGGATCTAACCATCTCATTCTTCTGCAGACGAAATTAGGCTAACTGATCTGAATCTCGCGGGTTGCGACGCTCTCTGTGCAGGCATTCTCTTACCTTTCCGACTGCGGCAGTTCGGGTGATGAACTGTCAGCCCTTGTAAGTATGAAAAAGCTCCGAGCTCTTAACCCTAGACCGGGTCATGCAATCAGGTAGGCAACAAGGGCCATGAAGAGCTGGGTCGCATAGTTCACGCTGGGGGTTCTGTGACAGCTAACTTGATGCTAAACTTAACTGCGCCATGAGCCTCGAGAAGTAACTAGAGGTTCTCGTTTCTCTAATCCATCATTCCCTACATGTGGCTCCCTGTGGAACTAGCTTTTCACTTGAATGGTGACAACCGCCTGCGGCCAACGCTCTATAGCCAGGCCTACGTTGCTCCGACTCAGCGGGTTATATGCACATTAGCGTATGACGGGTGCGGGGAACAGCTCGGATGGGAATTGCGTAGCGGTGTTCCATCTTCCAGACGTCCCGATGAAAAGTGTGATAAGCTGACGTACACCTTAAAGGCCTATCAGAATTCTAGAGGTATTTTTGGAATAATAAATTGAACCTACACCGTCTAGTCAATTTCGAGGAAAGCCCCTGGCATCGGAGATTTATGGATTAGAGGTAAAAGATTAGGGTCAGAATGTTGTATTATTTTTAAAGGGCAAGACCCTCAGTATCCATTGGTTGTATCAAACAAAATATTTCTCAAATTTACTATTAAGTCATAGAGTTATTTAGATGTCTTCAGCAGTCCTTCATAGTCATCATCTCAGTGAAGACTTCAATTCAAATTTTTTCTATTATTTTTTAGGAAAAGTAATTATCTTGTTACTTTATTCACAAAAATCATCTTTGTATATTATAGCTCGCTAGGGTTGAAAAATTTTGTGCTCTAATATGTAGCGAAATAACATTCCTATCTTTGAGACCATTATCAACCGAGACTTCATTGATACTAGTAGCAAAATAAAATGAGTAGCCTTCGCGTTCTCTATGATGTGTGAATTTCAGTATTGTAGGGCTAAGTTTCAACAAAATCCACGGTTCAATGTAGGCGCTAAATTACCAAATCAGGAGACTTCACGCCGAATGGCTTCTAAATACTACGCACCAAAGATTGCGCGGTCCAATGGAGCCTGCTGCCATCCGAAGTTTAGGGAAAACCCCGCATCATGAAGTCCTTTCAAGATGTCTCAAGAAAGCCTTAGATGCCGACGCCTGTCAGAGCCTATGATGCGTGTATAGTCACGTGGTATGTCGCCTCACTGATATAGTCTGTGCGCTTAGCCAAGTGTTTGAGGCCCACAGTAGACATTTTCGGAGTAGAAAACCCAAAGTTTAATATACCATCTTCTTCCATTCCTGGCCCACTGACAGGGAGAATCAATGATCCAGAAGTTGAAACCTATTGACTTTGCCGCAGATCTTTTTGTGATTTTAGGGGTTTAGATTCCGTGTTGGTACCGCTATAAGAACTCCGGGAACTGGTGATTAGTCAGCGTCCAAATCTATTTAGACGTTGTAATGATTAGCATTAAAGTATTCCTTTACTCAGTTTCATCGGGAGCTCGACGGTAAATAATAGATAAGCTCCCACGATTATGACCAAACACCATTAAAAGAAACGCAATACCAAGACTATTGCCGGAAATTCTTTCCTTTTTTTCAAAAATGGTCTTGGATAGCTGAGAAGCAATGCCATTGAGTGAACAATACAGACAAAGTATCAGAATACATTCATTCTTACGCACAGTCTGTTTGTGGATACACTGATAGCTTAAGCGTAAATCATTAAATGTACCATCCGCGCTTGAGGCTGAGGTGAAAAAGCAGAGTTTTCCCCGGTGCGTGTGAAGGAAGCATTCCTCGAAGTCCCGACGTCTCCAGACCCAAATTGTAACTGACTTTTTATTTCTATCCGAGCCCAGGCCGCTAAAGGCCTACGGGACTTAAGGTGAATTACGAGATATTTGTTAGGCTAGAAACTCACATTTTCGAAACAACTATTATTTTATTTACGTAAATTATTGAAACATGCACCATATACATTGTCCACCCTTATCAAGCACTTATGCGGGGAGAGGGCGGCAGCTCAGGGTGCCATAGGTCAGAAGAGTAGTCCGTGTTTCAGGCCAATCCACGGTAGATGCCGAAACTTCAATCTGTTGTATTTAAATATGGGTCAAGCTAGATCAACATAGCTAGGATGCTGACTTGTCCTTCGCCTTAATAATGGCATTACATGCTGACATAAGATGGAATCGGGGACAGAATGATAAAAGCACAGATATGACTATTGATAGACGAATCTTCATCTGTTGGTACATGGACGTGCGTTCACTAGACTCCATAAAGTTGTATGACGAGCTAGCTGGGTAGCTCAGGGCTGGGGCTTGGAAATTATTGCCCCGGCGTAGGGCGGATCCCTGAATTCTAATAGTCACGTTTTTATTGATCATTGTTGTATTTCTTTCTCTTCATCTCGCTTCTCGGATCAAAAGCGGCCCGACCTTTTACCAAATAGATAGCTTTATAATGTGACATTCAGAGTAAGGATTCGCCCAAACCCCACAGATCCTATTTTTTTTAATATCATTTAATGAGTATTCAGCTATAGAGCTATGACACATGACCGGTGCTATGTTTATTATTAATTCAATTTATTGTCCTGTCTGAGTCTATGACTATGTAGGACATGCAGGTCCTCCCTGCCTACAGGCCAAGGATACCTATACCAGTAGTATATCCCCTCCTATGCCTCCCATACAGCTCCCCTCAAACAGTACCACCCCTCACAAGTCCTCATTCGATCATACACTTAGAGGAGTCCTTTGCCCTTCATTATCTCTCCTCTCCAGCCAACCAAACGATGGCCATTTGCGGATGTATGGCAGCCGGAAAAAATCGCAAATACCACTGGGTGCGGAGCTTTGCTCATACCGAAATTAGGACTAAATCCGAAGATATAGTGACCCTTCTGAAGCGTTCGAAGAGGCCGGCCAGCTGGGCGCTGCAGACTTGTGTGTACCTCGGAGGATTCATCCTCTGCCTTTCTAGCCTCCTTCCAACTCCTTCCCGAAGGTCGTGCTGAAATGTCAGAAAAGTCTTGACAGAGCGCGATTGCTGTACGGTAGCTTAGCCCAACTTCTTTTGTACCGTCCAGGGCGCTGGTGAGTGCCGTTGACTCATCGACAAAAGAAGTCCTCCCGGCTAATTAGCCGAAATCTTGGTCTTGGCGCCCACAAAAAATCCAAAGTTGAAAACTTCTCGAAAATGTCAGTCCCAGTATGGTCTTCAGAGACCTCTTTCCCCTCTCGCTCCACATCTCAGCCGCCTGTTTTTCCTCAAGTTGTATGTCCCATTAGAGCAACAGTCCCCCATAAGCCATGACCCAGGCTTTGTATTTTTCGACTTGATTTCCTCCTTGCGAGTATTAATAGCGTCGTAAATATGTAGTGAGTGATGGCTGGAGATTAATGGGGCTGTGCGTTCGTGTGTAGGGGTTGCGAAATGGCTTATGGTGACTTGGAACTCAAAGCACGCCTGTAATAAGTATCACGGGATGCCTGTGGAGTTCGTTAAGTCAGATGTAAGTTGTTCGTTCATGATCCTAACAGGAAACTCCTAATGTTACAAGCAAGCTAATACATGATTACATGATAAGTTCCCACTAATCTTCTCAACACAATATCCCGTGACCTGGACACACAGGGCAAGCTCCTGTATGCAATTGGAGCAACTTCTTTATTGGTCGTTGAGGCAAGATGATGCGTGGTTGGAGATGGGTTGAGGACTCAGATGATAACGATGAGAGAGGAATTGTCTAGAAGTTGTCAAATGGAGATATGCATATGTTTGCTTTCGACTTCGATTTGGATGCGATTCTTCTTGGCTATCCCAGATATGCAGAGCATACTGAGCGATTACACCGGCACCACTGGAAGCTGAAGAATTCGTCTTTGCCGGCCTAGCTATTGTTTGCTTTGGTGGGTCTGTGTGGGCGCCAACACGTCGGGTAGTTTAATTTAGACTGGGCTAACCGGTACGTGAGGAACTCACGTGCTGTGCGCGGGCACGACGTTAAATATTTGAATTTGATTTCATTATCCTGATTTGGCGCCCTATGGGCCCATTCAGGTGTCTACAGTCTATAATATTTACCCGGGAGGAAACCTTTATGGTGAAAACCTCCCACACCTTTCTATTTGTTGTCTATAGTTCTCACATATTTTCTTCAGGAAGCTCAGTTACGCTATAGTGCCATCCATGTAAACCAACCAGATCATCTCTATCCTCCCCCAGCATTA